GGATAGATTATACACTTCTGCACTACTCAGTGGGGTACTACCATCAGTGCTTCCACCAGCAACTAACATATTTCCATTTGCCAATGTGACTTGTGTGTGATATTTTCGTGCAACTCTCATGCTACCAGTAAGTACCCACACTAAAAAGGAACATTCAAAGACAGCTTATAATGAAATTTTAATCTAAAACGTTTTCACTAGCATTTCTAGCTAGATTTTGTCAAGAAATAGTTAATATATTTTCAGTTGATTCTATTTTGCATGTTACAAAATACTCCGAATTTGATCAAAACACCTCTCACTAACCTAACGGCTTTCTTAAGAAATATTTCAATAACTTTCGATAAACTCTCAATGAGAATAACTCCAGTAGGCTCCCTTCGATTGCTTCAAATCTTTGAAGAAAAGCATTTCAAAATTTCGATCTCAATATCTCTAAATGACCCACTATCAGCTGCCATAACGAGATCTAACATATCGTCTTTTATATCATTTATACATAAAAACTACCTTCGTACTCCAGTCTGGTCGAGAAAAGTATATGCTCTGTACCTGGTATTGTGGTTGTTGTTGTGCTTGTGCTTGTAGTTATTGCTGTTATTGTAGGTGATATTGTAGTCGAAACTGAAAGAATACTTTATCTTTTAATAAATGAATCTTTGTAAGTTCTATTGTTTTTTATATCAATCATAGAATCGTTTTGTAAAATTCATCGATACTCACTATGAGAAGAAATTCGTTTCGATTTATCTATCTTACCTGTTGACAGGATTACATCAAATCCGCAAAATCGAGATAAAACTGTATATGATGCAAGATTTTTTACAATAGTAAATGTAGTCGAGCTAGGTTTCGATTGTATATCGGCCTTGGTTGGAAGTATACATTGTGTAATACAATAAGCAGTCTTGCATTTCGTTTTTGGGCACTCATTAATGATGATTATCATTCTAATTTTATCACCTTGGCTTACACTAGAACCTGCTTGAGTTGCATTGCAAGATACTGCACCTCTACAAGAATGAATAATATGAAAGTTTTTCCACTTAACAAAAAAGTTCTTAAAGTAGCTGACCGTAGTTGTCGTTTTTTCTTCTTGGTGCTTGTAATACTACCAGTCTCCAAGGAGACCGATTTAACACTTAACACATCGTTAGGGTAACCCATTTTGTCATTAAACTGTAACATAAAAATAGTTATGCTGCATACTATATGAGAAAGAATATAAAAGTACCTGACGACTAAGTGAATCATCATTAGTAACTGATTCCCCAGTGCTACTGCTGAAATCAGTAGCAAATACCATGTTCAAATTTGCATCTATCAAGAAATATAAAAGTAGAATGAAACAATTAGTAAAAACACTATTCTCTTTTACCACTATTCACTGCAGCATTAACATCTTTCTTCGATAAGTACAACGGAATTAGTGAACACACTATTGCAACCGCAATGAGAAAAAGTATCACTAAAAATATACATATGCCTCCTATTGGTAACCATCCTGCTCTTCGTCTAAAAATGAGACATGAAGAATATGAAAAAAATTGATTAATAGTCATGGATTCATACGTGGTTTCTGTAGTCGCACGATCAGTATTACCACGAAAATTTTGAAGATAATTACCCATATCTAAGATAAATGTCAAATGTTAATTTTCTCTCGCAGCTAGTCAACATTTATAACATTCACAAATGTAATAGCAGATAGACTTATTCTACTTTATCTCATAACAATGACATACTATCTATAAAATGGAGAGACATTATAAAATAGAATTCTCATTCCAAAATAAACAAAGGGATAAAAAAATGTTTATATATCCAAAGAGAAATTTGAAAAATAATGTAAGAGATACTCATAATTCATACACGAGTATATCCTGAATTTTATTAACGCATAATAGAGTATAAGAGTTTACAGAGAATGAATAGAATCTAAAATGCTTTATGAGAATATACTGAAGTTTTTTTGCGGTCTATCAGAATCTCTCTTCATGGCTCTGCGAATGTTTTTGCATATAGTTTCATTATCATCAACTTTCGTCAATAATCTTTAACACTCGTAGACTCTAGTAGATCCTAACCAACACTATTGAAAGTACCAATAAACCCTAGCACAGAGTAAATCCTTATAAGATTGGGTTGTTTTTTAATGGCTCCGTAACTTGTTTGAATCACTTGACGAAAAGTCGTGACTGTAAACAAGCCAAAAAAAAGAATTTCAAAACTCGCTAATTGAAACAAGGACATAAACAAGCCAAAGCTACTACATCTAATAAGCACTGTATGAAAACAAATGCTGCTAAATCAAATCAATGAATCAAATAGACTAAAAGCCTACAATTAAATTTAAGCGAACCACTAAAAACACAGAAAACATAAAGCAATATCCTACCACAATCAAAGTTGAAGTAAAACCGTCGAATATACTTGTTGTGAATCTAAATGAAGTTGACAAGCAATGAAACGAATATATAAAGAGCAGATGCTTAGTTCATGCATAAAAATGATTTTTCGTTTTGTACGCTTGTTATTCATCTTCATAAAACAACAAGCAAGCAATTAAATAGAAAAGAAATTACATATTTCCATTTAATATATATGTAATAGTTACTCCGTATAATGAGCATAAATAAGAAAAAAAAAGATGAGTTATTGATCATGTTTTTCACACTCACATCGAAAATACGTGTACGTTATTATAGATAGGAGCCGAGAGTGTGACAAATTATCAATTATTACTACATTTCAGTAGATTTTTACTGTTTAATTTTATTTTTTCAAGCAGAAATTTACTTTTCTATACAGTTTCTGTGAATTGTTATAAATAAAAATACAAAACAGAAATGGAAGATTTACTTTTATATATTTATACAAAATGTGAGTTTCTACTTGAAAAAATAAAAGTGAAACAATGAAAATCTACTCAAAAGTAGTGATAACTGATAATTTGTCACACTCTCAACTCTTAATTATGATAATGTATACGTATTTCGAGTGTAGGTGTGAAAAACATGATCAATAACTCATTTTTTTCTTCTTATTCATGCTCATTATACGCAATAACTATTATATATATGTTAAATGGAGATATGTAATTTCTTTTCTATTTAATTGCTTGTTTGTTGTTTTATGAAGATGAATAATAAGCGCACAAAACGAAAAAATCATTTTTATGCATGAAATAAGCGTATAAAGAGAAAAATAATTGGACACCGTTTGCTGTTTACATATTCGTTTCATTACTTGTTATTTTCATTTAGATTCACGACAAATGTATTTGGATATTACTTCAAGATGATTACTAATATATCATTTCTACTTAATTTATGTCATTCGAACAACATCTTCTGTTAATTTTTAATCCGTACGTTCCTGTACATATATCTCTTTTATATGTGAAAAAACATACACTATATGATTGCGTACAACGAAAAGAAAATAAAAAATTCAGAGTTTAATATGATCGTATGTTGACAACGATCATAATACTCATTTTTTGTAGATCGTAGACGAACAGAAAAGATGAAAGTGATTGTGTAACAGAGAAAAATAACGAATAAAATCAGAAATAAATATGATCTTGGAACAGAAGATACAACTGAATAAATCAATTATTGAAGTAGATAAAAGTAGTACCGAAGTAATGAATTAGACGTTGTAAAAGCAATGAATAAATCAGATAATAGATCAGAAAAGAAGATTGGTATTTTTTTGTTTTTATTTTTGTAATATATTAAACAGTTGTCATACATAATAGAAATTGATCAATAGTTATTAAATTTCGTTTTTGGATTGATAAATAGTATAATCGTGTTTATACATATATTTTAACATATGAAGCATGATTGGTTATATCGACTATATAATATAGAATGAATTGATAATAAACTTTGTTGGAAAATATAATAAAAGCCTCTTATGGTTAGAAATTAATAAATACATATTCTATCATTGTCTAATAAAACTACACTGGAAACAAAAAAGGTGTCATGCGAAACCTAAAAATGATTTTGTAGTAGCTACGAAACCTTTTTTAGGTTTCGCATGACATCTTTTTTGTTTTCAGTGTATAATTCCATACTGACTAGGAAGATTCTTTATAACACAAGTAACGTTCGTCTGGAGACTAGCTTTATTCTTTCTCGTAGAAATGATGTGCCTTATCACGGTACTGTATTCAAATGTCGACCCCAGTAAGCATAGAAAGTCTCAAGGCAAGTTAGTAATGATTATTTACTTCTGATTAGCCATATGCTAACGAAGTGACTAGATTATGACATGCAGCGGATAGTATCAGAGTAGGTGTGGGTATGAGTTTCGATTATCTTTTTCTCAGTCTGATCCACAGAAACACTCGCGCTCTCACACATATCCACACATACGTCCTCAATACGAATGCATTTGTATTTCTATAGACAAAGATCATAAATGAGTAGCTCATATCGCTTTAATTCTATAGATTGAACTCACAGTCAATTATTAGAAGATTTCTTGAGTAATCATTTTTATCTTTATTTTAAACGTATCAGCATGCATATACAATCACAACGACATCAAGCCCAACGAAGTACAGCAAAAGAGAAACGACCGCATGTATATTTATATAAGATAATGTATATGTATATGCAGAGTATAATACGAGAAAACAAGCACAACAAATGATGAAAATATGCAAGCGAAGATATCATATAAGAAAGAGACATGCTTTAAGGTTGAACACTCATGACAAATCAAGAAGAAGTCAACACATTAACTGGCTTTTTTAAAGTTTTACTGTTAACGATAATAATCAATAGTAAGTCATTATACACTAGCATGTTGTTAGATTAAACATTTGTATTCGATTATTATATCTATCAGAAACCAATAGGTTACCATATTTATCAAAGAGGACTGTTTCAAGAAAATATAATTGATCTGATGCTGTTCCTGGTATACCACCAGCGACTGTAGTGCCATTACTTGCATTTGGCAGCCAACGTTGAATACGATTGTTATCTAGATATCAAGAAAAGTAAAATGAGAATGTCTAATCTATGGAATATTCTCTTTTCTTAAAATTGCTCTTACTTGTATCAGCTATATAGAGAGTTCCACTACTATCGACTATTATAGATCTTGGATAATTCAACTGATTCGCTCCACTTCCAGCTCCATTACCTCCAGCGACAACTGTTCCATAAGTTGCATTCGTTGAACCGGATGGAAATTTCAATACACGATGATTACCACTATCGGCAACGTACAAAGAATTTGTATATAAATAATCATAGTAAGCACCAACTGGACCTGACAGTTGATTCAAAGCATATCCATTACCATTGCCACCTATATATGAAAATAAAACCAATATTAAACGAGAGATCTCTTTGAAAGAACATTATATACCTGCTGCAATCATCGCTGTTGTATTACCACCCACAAATTTGTATACTGCACTGTCATTGTAGCTAACTACATAAATATCATCATCGAAAGAGACAGTCAATGGATTTATGGATATTGATGTTGCTAGACCTACAGAACTGAAAAGTGTTCCAGATGTCGTCGAATTCGAATTTGATGGAAATATAACGACCTGACTACAATAGAAATCCGATACATACAATCGACCAAAACTATCAACACCTATTCCGTAAGGAGCTTCAAACTGATTCATGTTGCAACCGTATCCATTACTTCCAGCAATTACTATTGCAACTGAAGGTGAATTATCAAGAGAGAATTGTAGAATACGTTGATTTCCACTATCCGCAACAAATAACATATTGTTAAAACCGTCATAATACATTCCAATTGGACTAGAAAGAAATGAAAGGTTGGAGCCAGGTGTACCTGATTGGCTCCCAAATATAGTAGTTGCAGTTTGTGACCAGGATGATTGAGAAGATAGAGAACATACTATAAAAAAGAAAGAAAAAAACAACAATTTTACTATCCAACACTTATAGACCAGTTCAGACATCATAACTAAAATGTTCTCATTATATTTTTATGACTAACTTGTCGAGAAACGTTATATATGATGTAATGAGCATAAATTGTAAATAGTTGTACCAAATTATGTCTCTTACATTATCGTAATTTGTACATTATACCAACAACATACATCTTTTTTCAATAACTTGAGAAGTTTTAAATAATTTACCTGTTGTTGTCGTTGTTGTCGATGATGATGTTGTTGTTGAAGTCATCTGATCTATATTGAAAAAATGAGATTACAAAAGGGACAGGATAATTGGATATGGCTTCGCCCAAAACCTTGCAGGCTTCGTTCTGCTAATAGTGTAGGTGATTATGGATGCATTATGATAAATTTTACATAAGTTCCAATGGATTTACAAACCTTACGGCTTCTATAATGTTTATTTATAGCTATAGTGGTACTATAATAGTTCAAGCCGGCGAGTCTACATAAAATGCAACTTTAGCATTGGTTCATTTGGAGTCCTATACATCTGTGAGCAGATGTGTTCTATTTATACTAACCCGATGGAAATCGTGTTCCACTAATAACATTCATACTAACAGCATCGATATCAGCCAATATACTTTCATTTTGATTCAACATATTATCAAATAATTCACAATTAAAAGTTGATCGATGAAAAGTGGCTGCTCTGCATTGACTTTGAGTTAAACAGGCTACTTGACAATTCATAATATTTGATGTAAAAACATTAATGAATGGTAAACAACTTGTATTGGCACATTGAAACTTGGAATCAATCATTAAAGACATTATCATTGATTGTATATCTTCTCCGACTACTTGTGTAATAGTCATAAATAAAAGCCATAAACAAATTCTTCCCGAAGCCATTACCAACTAGACTGTAAGTTGATGAAATGAGTTTAACTCATAATACAAGAGAAAACAATTGTTGAGAAATAAATTCTATTTCTTTTTTGTTTCTTTCTCTCTTTTTTTTCTCAATTGATTTCATGATTGCAGTAAAAAAAGCAATCTTGACTTTTTTATTTTGAAAGAAATACATTCATTCGAAGAAATCATTTTCCTATGTGTTTAAATGTTAGCTGAAGACAAGTATATTCACAAATAAAGCTTTTGAGTTATATGAAAAATGTATAACAGCATGAACGATCCATCCAACAAAATTGAATTTGAAAAGAAAATATAATTAACATTTAGTTGTAGATAAAATTTTCTATAAAAAATGGATTAATTCAATTGAAAATAATTTATATATTCAAATCTGAATATTTCAAATGTATCAGTGACCTATCACATCATTCATATCGAATAAAGCCAATCTTTAATATCTAAACGAAGAATAATTAGATGAGTTGTTTGATTAGTCAAGAGAACTGAACACTTTTTCAAAATCAGATACACTCGAGTTAGGTTTTTCGAGTGTCCACAATACAAAGTATAATAACATTTCGAGAATTTCTTTTCGTGTTATTCTTCCATTTTCGATTGATCATGATTTGTAATTCAATAGATTATCATATTTTGCTTCATCGATTTGAAAATGATCCAAACAGTTACGATTCATATCTATGTGGAATAATATTAGCATCATATTTATTAGATAAATTAATACAAACACTTTTTTTTAGTATTCTAATGTAGTTTAAATAATTGTTTATCAAAACAACATACCCTAACGTATTTTTTTCTCACTAAGAAATATTCATATAGAAAATGCTGCCTTTTTCTGAGTGGCTGCCTAATTCGACTTCGAATATAAATGGAAAAAAACTCGAAACGCAGTATTCTCACAGTCGAACAAAAATTTCTAAACCGAAATTCATAGTTCCGATTCGAAGGTACTTATGTTAGTTTAGAAAAAAAAGGAAAAGAAAAAGTTTACTTAAATAATAATTTATAATTAAAATACGAAGGCATCTATGTTAGTTTAGAAAAGAAAGGAAAAGAAAAAATTTACCTAAATTACAAGTTACACGGCGCAATTGGTGCTGATTATCTACTGAAAGAATGTGATCAGATCGGTCAGCATACTTAAAATAAGATAAAGATTTGTTTTAGTTCATCAATCGAATCACTTCTCAAAAAGTCTTTTACTATGAATCGTTTTACTTACTTCAAGCTCTTAAATAAACACCTGGTCGTTCGTCGGCCTAAAGGGTGGATGTGATTTCCTAGTATGTGATTTTCGGCTGTTTTTCGAGAAGTTTTGGTTTTGTGAACATCTAATATTTCTACTTTTAGCATGCATCTGAATATAGTGTTGATTTCTCTAATAATTTACGTAATGTCAATAAGATAAACTTAATTATTACATTTAAAGCAGTTTTCATTTTTATTGAGCTTACTGTTGTTGAAATCTGAGAGTGTAAAAGTTTTGTTTCGGGGCTTTTCGGACAAGATGTCACATAAATAAAATAAAAAATATATGATTTGATAGAGTAACCGATGCTCGATCCGCATATATCTTGAGGGTGTGGGTGTTATAATCTTCTCTCATCTACACTCACCCACACACACCCACTCACATCCTCAAGATGCTTATCAAGTTTATCAGCAATTCGAATAACACCAACGATGAGCGCTCTTCGACCTTGGATGAATTTGTTGAGAATCTCTGAACGGCAATGAGCATACATTGGAATTTGCTATTGACAACGAGAATAATAAAGTCGTCTAATGCGTTTGATATAATTTTTTCAGGTGTAGAGAAGCAAAAGTTGCCGTCGAGAATGCTAAATTGCTTCTATCGCAACAGTTTCGTCTATTGAGTTTCTCCCCACCGGCACAAGGCTGTCACTTTATGTGACAGGCAAGTGGCAGAGAAACGTCAGCATTTTTTAAAAAAATCTTTCTTCATAGTGTTTTTTTTCATTATTGTCTTTTACCAAGTAATAATGGCTTTCTCCGACGAACACGATCGAATACTCTCGGAAAAGATCGACGATCAAGTTCTACGACTTCTAAAAGTTCGCGATATTGAAGATTTGATTGTGAAATATGACCGTTCTGCACGGGATCATTCTGATATTGTTCGTCGATTGCGACGGTCCTTTGTCGATCGAGTAATCAATCATTTTGTCAATCGAGCGCTTGGTTCTGCCATCGGAGCCGATGAAATCAGCTTAACGTGCAACCTGATCGAAGAGTATTGTTGTAAACATGAAACGGATCTTCATGTGATCTTCGACTACTTTCACAGTGATATTGCAACTGTGGTAATGAATAGAGGTTTAGTGCCAAACTGGACTTCATATCTGCTCAATCCAATAACAAAACCGATTGCACGTTCCTTATTTGTCAAACACTGTCCAGAACAAGCTGTACAAAGAATCACGGCACAGTTGTGTCCTACGATGGCAGACAAAAACCCGTGCATACAACCGTCATCTGCATCGAATGAAACAATCACGCGATTAAAGAAATATGTACTGCTGTCGATGATACTTCTCGTCGTCAACTGGATACAGACTCAGCTTTTCGCCATTAGTTCTGCTTTCTTTGTCGCAGTAACTATGTTCGCCATTATCTGGACAAAAATAATATGAACGTTGTTCTATTATAATAATGATTGTCAGAGCTTCGTAGAACGCAAAAAATAAAGATGCTGCGGGAAGGAGAGCGAGATAAATCTATTTGGGGACCACGACAAGCATATATGATACAGAAATATCATACGCCTGTTCTCATATATTGGAGCTAAGAGAGGGTGTGGGTGTGACTGTGGACTATTTAATCAGTAGCAATGCTCAAGTCCAAACCCATCTACATCCTCACGCACATACACATCCATCCCTTCGCACTACAAGAAATTCAATTCAATTTCGGAGAAAAACAGTCCAGTCGTTACGTATACGTTTGCGTATTATTTCGAAACGACTTGCGTTACGAAAAAAAAGTTTTCAATTCAGTCTAAGCTGCGACGTGCAAGTTTGATTTTTCTGTGGAAGAGAACGAAAAAAAAAAGAAATCTGGAGTGTTATTAAAAAAATGTGACTTATCATAGTCAACAGTGACAGTAATAAAAAGAATTTGTATGATACAGACGAGAGGAAAACGAAATAATAAGAAAGATTTTGAAGGACACAATCAACTTGTTTAAAAAAAAACAACGTTTATTTGCAGACGTAAAGTGAAAAACATGACAAATACCGTGCAAAAGCTACCAACAAAAATCGTACGTGCAATCATCGCTGAAAATTTATCCCCAGACAATGTTATATATTATGACGAACATCAAAGTTGGGTATATACAAGATGCAGTGTTGATCCTATCAACACGTCACGACAAAGTCTTAACGAAGTTCAATCATCAAGCCTTGTCCAAAATGCACGTCCACTAGAGTCACTCGGTCCTTTTGGTAATCTGAAAAATCAAGTGTCTTATTTTACTCTCATCCATGAATTTTTTTGTTAATTTTATTTAGGTACGCAACCAACTGAGATCTCTATAACTATTGAACCAGGTGAAGTTATTTATAGAACAAAATCATTCAATATAATATTGAGTGATCTTTCTCAAGATAATGACGGCGAATGCTTAGGACAACATGCACCATTGGCGCCAATAACTTTGCACGGTACAGCTCGTAGTGTTTCCCATATTCCACATGATGCAACACATTTCTGTTGGGTTTATCCACCGGTTGGACTAACTGAGTTATGTAAGAAAACAAAAAAAAGTATTGATAAAAAAGTTGCATTGGGTGATTTATCATGTACTTTCCTTGCTTTCGGCGGTTTTGTTTATTTTCGAATCAATAAATGTAATAATTACACAATGTTACAAGCTAATGCACTTGTGAAAGCTGATAATGGTCTCGTATTTCATGGACCTCATGAATGGCAATCTGCTTATACAGCTCATCTAGCTAAAAACGGTCGATTTCAGGTACGTTTATGTATCTTGACAATGATTAGTAAATTTATTTATTTTTCTATTCGTAGGATGTTACTGTTTCGTCACTCATAGATTTGGGTATCAAATACTATTGTTTTATTAATCCAAACGAGAAGCTTTGTAGTTCTATTGAGGGTCAACCAGTTTGGGCTCCTGCTAGAAATGGTGGTTTCGTCTATTTGTATGGATCTCCTGGAAATCCTCATCCTCTTGATCGTTATTTTTCCATTGCGGATGCACCCATCACTGAGCAAATCAGTACACAAGTTATGCCATTCTCATTAATTCGCAATCCACATAAAACCGTTGAACGATCAAGTTCATCCTTACCATCGCCCTCTTCGAATGTCGACAAAGATAGATTTAACTGTTCAATTTGTCTCGATCGAACAATTCAATGCATTTTAATTCCATGTAAACATATGTGTGCATGTGCTGAATGTGCTCAAATGATCAACAAGAAACAAAACTCTCTGTGCCCAATATGTAGAGAAACGTTTACCGA